CATGGTTTCTCATTTGGAATCACTCTAAAATAAACTTTTATTAAGTTTGTTTCTCATTAAAAAAACAAGTAATTGATTGTTTTCACAGCAGACATTTTGATTTGTCAATCACAGGTGTTACTAGTAACATTACCAGTGGTTCTGTTATATTCAAGCGTCCCAGTAAGTCATGACAGTGTGATAATGAGGCAGTATGCACAGTACCAGGACTGTGAAACTTAAGCAGCTGAAATTGAAGTCAGCTATATCATTATTTACACCTGTGCTCCTCCTACAGTGACAGTGAATATAAAAAAGCCTATAAATTAAAACATGTGAATCCACAGATTATGTGATAAAACAATTTCCAAGGCCGCTGGTTTATTTTGAAATTTGCTATAAAGGAATGTTCAGGGTTTAATAAGCCGTGTGCAAAATGGGCCTAAATAAGTAACATTTAACATTATTTGGATTGGTTTGGGAAATCACAGATTGACCACCAAATAACAGAGCGAGTAGTGGATGATTTTGGTGTCCTCATTGCGTATGTGGTATATTGAATGTGCTATTGTTGCAAACATTGGTATGGATTCAGTGTAATACCACGCTATGACTTTGTCATGGTTGAAGGGGAAAACTCCACTCCCTGGCTTCAATCTTTGAGCTCCCAGTCAGCCTCAGTGCCCCCCCTCTTCTCTCCAAAGTCTAAATCTTACCAACAGAGAACAGCAGAGTAAGCTGGTCCTCCAAGCTCTTGTTACAAAAAGGAATGATTGCTCTTACTGTCAAAGTGTTTTATTGATGTACAGTGCTCCAACAGGCCTGGCAGATAATAGGCGGGCAGGGGGTAACTATGTGGCATTATGTTGCCTACGCCTGTTTTATATAGGCAACATACTCTCTCTCCTTCTTTCCTTCTCTGCCTCTCCCTCACACTCTCTGATGTGATTTTACAGTAGTGACATTGATCCAGGCCCACTTTGATCTTGCTCTTAGCTGTTGCTCCTTCTCGCTCCCTCCCGCTATCACCCTCCGCTCCCTGGTGGCCAGACTCTGCAGCTTTTAACCCCGACTACCCCTCGTCTCATCCTATAAATCCTCCCATCTTTCTCTCCATCCTTCCATCGCCTCATCCCTCTGGTATTCTTTTTGCTCTTGGAAGCCTCTGCTCGGCTCCTTGGAGTTGTGTTGTGCTGATGAGAAACATCCCGCATCACTTATGATGGGAGGAAATTAGTGATGATCCAACACAAAGGGGAAAAGGGAGGCATCAGTAGGGAGCAGAGGAAGGCAACACATCATGACATTTCATAAGCCACTCCACCTCTTACTCTCTCTGTGTCTCGCCATCTCTCTTTATTTGGAATTTTCAGGTAGCATTACTATCCAATAAACTCCAATATCATAAAGCGGAATAAAAAAGCCTTCAAAATAGGGCTGCACATTTTAGGACAAAATGAGAATCGGGATTTTCTCAGTCAGAGTGGATTTTCGCTCAGGATTCTTAGGGAAACCAGTTTTTTAAAATTAAAATATGTATTGCATTCTCTTTTGTCTTGAAGCAGACTGGAGGAAGAATATGATCGTGACTGGTATGAGGCTGTCACATCAACTTTGCACAAAGGGCACATTCCCAACAGACAGTTTACTGCTTCACTTTAACAATGTACTTAACTTGAGTCTCAGTGCGGTCAGTTCATTGACTTTTCATTGAATTGACTAAAAAACAATCTGAAATATTCTTTTTATCATTGTGAGTGCCCTTATTTTATCGCTAGAGTAGATTAAATGAATTATGTCTGTATACATCAGCACATGAAAGCATAAGGAGTAAAACCACATAGATAACAACATGGATGTACACTACTATGTGGCCAGAAAAAACTGTTTTATAGCTTATATTACATTACTTAAAATTAATTTTTGTGGAGACTAGTATTTGGTTGTTGGCTGCAGTGCATTGTCTGGTACATTATGTGGCTCTACTTTGTGGCGTTGTTGCATTATATGTTCTATATTTTATATTTTTAGTATATGCACAGTTGTAGAAACATCTTACAGTGTAATGCCTTACCATACAGTCTAATAAAACAACAGCTCCAAAAATATCCACAGATTTGGATCAGCTTCTCTGAATTTACCGTATAATGAAGGATGTCACTTTTTCTCCCACCTCTTATAGGCGTCACTTATTCAGTATCCAATACAAAGTGCCAGTCCAATACCAGGGCTCCTTTTTCAGTTTAAAATCTGTATATATATGTGTATCTATCTACCCTTCTATATGGACGTTTAACTACACATCATTTCTAACTATAAGTCCCTCATCCTAACTGTATTGATCTTGAAGGTTCCAACATTGTGTTCGTACAAGTTTGTAACAACAGAGACTAACAAACCGCTTTTTAATTTGGATCGGTCACAACTGGCCGATGCCCAATCCACTAAAAGGTTATTATCAGCAGATCCAGTATTCCAGATGAGTGCATCCTGGATTATACTGTACGTTACACAAAGTCCAAGTCCAAGACAGGCTTTTTTTAAACTTTTCTGGTCACTCTATGTAGCGTATGCATGCGTTGTATACAAATGAGTCAGTAGTGGTATTAAAAATCATTTTAATACCTTTAATCCTTCACTCCTACCCAAAAACACGCTCTCTTCAACACAAACTCACTCTTCAATTAGCCATGTCTTTTTTTCTGATTATCCATGGCCTGAAACTAAAGCCATAATGTGGTCCTAGACGGATTATTGCAACATTCAAGGATTCGGATGCCACACTGTTATTGGATTTGCTTCTTATGGTAAATCACCCCTTTCTTGTATTTTATGTGTGCACGTGTATGTATGTCAGAGACACACCCCCCCTAAGGATGTCACTCCATCACATATAAAAGTTTTACAGAGTGAAGTGACATGCTTTGATGTCACATGCAGAAATGCTTTTTCGTACACACAAACCAAAGCAGGCGCACACACAGATGCACACAGCCTTTATCCTAGAGAAGTGATTTACTTTCAGATTACCCAAGATGCTCCAAGTTGCCCTCCCCCTCATTTTTCTCTTTCTCTCTTTTCTGCCATTATCCCTTCATCTCTGAGAAGTTGCTTTTCTTTGGTAACGTAAAACTCTCCAACCACCTCCCTTTTTTCCGTCTGCTCCGTTCTGGCTCTCTCGCTCTTTTACTCAATTTGCATTCACGCCTCCCTGGTGGAACCAAACTCATCCCTCACTGGTGTTCTTTCTCTCTTGCTCTCCATCCCTCTCTCTCTCTCTTTTTTGCATTCACTATAAATATAGTTCCCTTGAAGCATTTTACGCTTTTTTTCTGCCACTAATACCACAAGAAGTAAATCTCTTCTGCAGGCCAGTAAATGATGTAATGAGAGAGAGTGAGGAGAGGAGAGGAGGAGGAGGAGGAGGAAGAGAGCAAAGGATGAATGTTGAGCAATTAATCTTCCGTTCATGTTACTCTGAACGAAAGGGATGAGAGAAATGGAGAGCACGGGGAGAAAGACAAATTCAGGAAGGATTTGAAGAGAGCAGTAAGAAGTGATGGAGAGAGGGAGACATTGGGAACAGTGTTTCGATCTTCATTTAATAATTGAATAATAATCTCCCTGGAGACATGACCTAGAACTGGCAAAGAGGGAGAGAGGCAGCATCAGGCTGAGGATGACACACTGCTGCCCCCTTGTGATTTTATGATGTCACCACTCTGAGAGAGTGTGTGTGTGTGTGTGTGTGTGTGTGTGTGTGTGTGTGTGTGTGTGTGTGTGTGTGTGTGTGTGTGTGTGTGTGTGTGTGTGTGTGTGTGTGTGCGCGCGCACATGTTCATCGGCGTGTGTATGATTTACAACTGCAACCTGTCTCTGTCACATAGATATGGGCCTGCGTCTGTGATGGGGAGAAAAAGAGGGCTTTTGGATGTCAGGAAAGAATCTATTTCACTTTGTCACACAAACTACACGCACATACACTCTGAGACACAGAATCAGACCTTATCTTCCTGTCAAGCCGAGTCTTTTTTAGGGTTGACGCTGATATACGAGCTTTAGGGGGGGGGAGACGTGGCCAGGACGTTGACGGCTGACGTGAGCGCAACGTTGCGCTCAGGTTGATGTACGAGCACTGGGGTTAGGGGACAAGGCTGCGCTGACACCAGGAGAAGGAGCTGTGGCCCTGGGGCCCTTTAGTCCATACTGAAGAGCCAGCTCCGCATTCTCTGCATGCAGCAACCCTGTAGCCACAAACACACACACGCACACACACACACCTGCTTTGTGTTATTAATAACTCAATAACTCTCAAACAAAGATTTGTTTGACCCCAGGTGAACATTCAAGCTGAAAAGGGTATATCCAAAACACAACATATCATACGAAGATGTGAGATGTAATGTTCGTCTTTGCAGTGTCTTATGTGACATGTGTATGAGTGTGGTGTAAGGTCAGAAAATGTGTGTATCTAAAAATTATGCATGCATAATTCGGAATTAGAACCACTTAATGGCATTCCTGCTGAATGTGGAACAAACACAAAAGTGCATCTATCCTGTGTGTTGTACATGTTAATTTGTTTATTTAGTATGTGTGTGTGCTAGGAAGTGTCGGCTGCATTCAGTGCATTAATTGCAATATATGAATAACATTTATATTTATTAATTTACAAAGCACAAGGTTAATTAAGTTTCATTAGTTTCCATGAGCAGTTTAGACAAAAAATTTAAATCGGACGGACAGGCAAAAACAGTTTTTCCCATCGAATGCTGCCGACATTTAGTGATTTTCCACCGAGGGGAAACAATCAAGATCTAATTATTCTACTCTAGTTAGTTTGAAATTGCCTGTAAAAAATTATTCATGAAAATTTAATTATTTTGAAGGTCTACATTAAACACCTTTGATGTTACACGGGAAACCTTACAAGATATGGCATATAATAAAATATATATATTCTGCAGCTTTGTATTTGTTCTCGTTCTGACTGTTTCTGCTTTCTCTCTCTCTATTTCCAGTCTGCGCAGGGAGGGCTACACAATGCAAGTGAACGTCAACGACTACCTGGACATCTACTGCCCTCATTACAATGACAGCCAGCGCATGGTGGGCACCGGTGAACAGTACGTCCTCTACATGGTCAGTTATCGTGGTTACAGGAACTGCGACCCCCAGCTGGGCTTTAAGAGGTGGGAGTGCAACCGGCCCCATGCCCCACATGCGCCCATCAAGTTCTCAGAGAAGTTCCAGCGCTACAGCGCCTTCTCGCTGGGCTACGAGTTCCACGTTGGACAGGAGTACTACTACATCTGTGAGTGGAATCAAACCTATAACCATGTCAATACAGATAACTATTAAGTGTTTGTCCTTAAAATATAAACAAGATTATTAATTATAGTAAAAGCTTGGAGGTCAGACAGAAGGTCAGTTAGACACTCAAACACTCCCTGTAAGATTAAACATTATTTTTTATTTTTAAATAGATTTTATGATTACTCACTTCAGATTAGCCAAAGTCCATCCTCAGGTAATTTCAGGATAACAAATTGCTGTTTCACATTTAATCATATCACCCCGCAGTCAAGCAGGCTCATCCATTTTGTTGATAGCTAATCAAATTAACTCGCAACACCTTGTGCCAATATGACACTGTATAAATAATGAACTTTTAGCTTGTCATAAAACCACTGAATAACAAATATTTCAGGCCAAGGATAAATGTCTCATTCGTTAAATGGCTATATAATGAGTGCAGTGCTCATTTAAGCTACATTAATTGTTGGGAGAGGTCTCTAGAAAGTTGTTTGGTTCTACAACACCAAAATTAGAAAGCTGCTCTGTGCGTCACAACAACAAAAAAATGCTTCCTTGCCTTTTTTATTTAGTTTTTTACAGGCTGGTGTCAAAAATATCTTTAAATGATCAAATCAATTTATTGATCTAGCAATTTCATTTGGTTGGTTATACTGTTTAAATGAAACACATGTAATGAAATACAGATTGTAAACCCCACTGAGGCAATTTGTGATCTTGGGCTATATAAATAAAAATGTACTTGGCTTTAATACATTTGAACTAAAAGGGAAAGTTCAACAATTTGAATGTATGTTTTTTTATATCCTGCACAGCTTTACTAGACCTTGCTAACAGCAGACATTTTTACTTGTCACTGCAGGAAAAGCACAGGTGTAGCTAATAACATTAATTATGGCTCTAGTCTATTTATGGTGTCCCAGTAAGCCGTGACAGTGTGACAGTGAACCAGCATGAACAATACCAAGACCCCATAACAGAAACAGCTAAATGAAATTCAGCCATTAATAACTGTATTATTTCCACCTGTGCTTTTCCTACTGTGACATTTCAACATTATACTTATATATACAGCATATACTTAAAGGTCTAGTGTGTAGGATCTAGTGGCATCTAGCAGTGTAGTTGCAGATTATAGCCCCCGCACTCCCCCCCCTCCTTCCAACCACAAAGGAGACAGCGGCCCCGAAATGTGCAGAAAATCCAAACGGCCCCATCTAGAGCCAGTGTTTGGTTTGTCCGTTCTGGGCTACTGTAGAAATATGGTTCAACATGGTGGCCTCTGTGGAAGGCCACAGACGGCATCTGTAGATCATTATTTTCTTATTACACACTAATGAAAACATACCTGCGAAATATTATATTATATTTCTGCCAATAAATCCTCCTAAATGTTACACACTGGACCTTTTAAATAAAATAAGAGATGAGGACATATTTTCACATATCATACCAAACCTTGCCTCACAGCTACAAGGTCAAATGTTTGGTGTTTTTTTTTTTATGTTCATCCTGTATCTCTGTGGTTGTCCTCGTGGTCTGCTTTTTCTCCCACACTCCAATCACATACAGTTCAGGTGAATCATAGAACCCTGACACATAGATTGGTCTGCCAGTTAGTTGTTTTCAGTTAAATTTAATATGCTCGTGTCCCCTCATGTGAGTGCTAACGATGGTTTGCAGCCACAGTTTGGTTATAAGCTGAAGTGTCTAACGCATTCTATGTTAAGTTTCTAGAGTTACATTTGAGAGTTTATTTAGCTGAACTGTTCTGTGTGTGTAACAATCCCTCTAGACAACAAGTAGTTGTCACTGAACAGATAAACCTACATTAGTGTTTATTATGTTTTTCATGTAGGGGTTTGGTGAGGCACAAAGGAGGAGATAAAAATGTGTCAACAAAACATTTTCAGACCACTTCTCTTACAGTCTTGCAATCCAAATTCTGTGCTAACTCGCAATAAAAACACCTTTTATGCCACAGCCACTGTTTTTGGTAGAAGATTGCCACTAGAACTAATGGTGTTTGCCTCCTCATACACACGGTGCTCATTTCACTCTGCAGTGATATGAATAATACAGTTAGCAAATACGGTTGTAAGTCACAAACAATGGCTGTATATGTCACAGGGTTGTGCAAATTGTAGAATTTTTATTTTTTTCAAGTTTTATTTGATGTGTAAAATTGTTATTTAATGTGTTTAATGTGGAACCGTGATGTCTGGCTGATACCCAGTCTGTTTAATAAGGTCAGTATCAGCGCTGATCCAGTGGTTTGGATTAGTTCATTACTTCTGATATGTTCTCCTGGATTATTAGTGCTGTAATAAATACCATCTTATCAGCACACAGACAGACCAAACTTTTATCACATTTGAAGCAGCAAAACCCAACTTTGGTCAGTTCTTCATGTCAAGACCACATCATAGGAATGAATAAACGCACATCAACACACCATGATGTTCATCTATTGTGCGTTTAATGTTTTTACAGCCACGCCCACCCATCATCACGGCCGCAGCTGTCTGAGACTACGAGTGTACGTCTGCTGCTCCACGGGTAAGTCTTTCACTTTGTGTGTGTGTGTGTCTGTTTGTTTTTGTGTGTGTGTGTGTGTGTGTGTGTGTGTGTGTGTGTGTGTGTGTGTGTGTGTGTGTGTGTGTGTGTGTGTGTGTGTGTTTGACCTGTAATGCAATACTTGGACCTGTTTGCAGACTGTAGCTGCACCCATCTGGCCACTCTACCCATCTGGCAGGCGCCGGGCTCCCCAAGAACTCACACACACACACACACACACACACACACACACACACACACACACACACACACACACACCGGCTGCATACAGATGCATACACAATCTAAATACAGTCTAAAACAGGCAGAGCTATAAATACTCCTGCTGAGTTTCCCCTGCAGCATTTTCACTCACAGCACAGAACCCCCCCATGCTCCTCTTTTTCATTCCATCTCTCTCTTTTTCGTTCTCTTTCCCCTTTCCCTTCCTGCTCTCCCTCTACAGCAGGAGAAAGGAGCAGCTCCAGCTTTGAAGGCCCTCACCCCCCGCCTCCATGCTCTCTTCTATCTTTCCTCCTCTTTCACCCCTCCTCTCTCGCTCCCTGTCAGAATCCATTTATTGCTGTGTGCGGTCAGTGGGTGGCTATGTATATGTAGTGTTAACCTCTCTCACTCGCTCTCCTGCCTTCCTTCAATCTCGCGACCCTCTCTCTCTCTCTCTCTCTCTCTCTCTCTCTCTCTCTGTCTCACACACACACACACACACACACACACACACACTCACACATATACACACAGACTTTGATCCCTGGCCTGTCCGGTCCTTTTAACTTCCACCACCCTGTAGTATTAACCTCTCCTCCCTTTCACCCCCTCGATTCCATCACTCTCCTTCCCTTTTCACACACTGCCTCTCTTCAGTTTGATCTGCCTGCCCTCACCTTCTCTCGTCTCTCTTTCTCTCCCCCCTCCCCCTCTCTCTTTCTCTCAGGGCTGCTGGTGATGTTTTGGCTTGTCAGTGTCTGCTGCTTGCTCTGGGGGAATTTTTTTTAACCCCTACACCCTTGCCTTGCCTTGCCTTGCCGCTCTCTTGCATGTGTCTCAGAGGATGTCAAGTTGGATGTAATTAAAGTCCTTTGGGTTGGAGCAGTGGTTTAACCCCTCCACCCCCACTCTCTCCCTCCCTCTTTTTCTGTCTCACTCAATTTCTTCTCTCTCTCTCTCTCTCTCTTTCAGCCTCTGATGTGGATGATGAGCCAGAGCCTACAGAACCAGACTACACGCTTAGACCAGGCCTGAAACTTGACGATATTGGTGAGTCATACACACACTCACTTAAATGTGTACACACATGACATTGAGTAAGTGTGGAACACACCTGTCCGGACCGTCTGGATTCATAATAACAGACACAGACTTGTGTTTGTCAGTCAGATCAGTCTAAAGTCACGCAAATCCTATTATTCACGCCATATTGAAGATAGAGGAAAATGATTCTGTTCTTGTTATTGTTTCTTATTTTCAACAAAACCCATAAACTGACTTAAAACCAGCAATGTGTTCCATCTCTCAGTACTCTCTGATTTCCATAAACTGTCTGGTTTGCAAGCTCATTTGTTTTTGCTGAAGATGTGTATCTTAAAAAACAGGCAACATATTGCTTAATTTTTTTTTTTAAATGCTCCACAATTTCCTCAAACAGATGGGCACTGTAGTTTTCAGCAAACATTACTCAAACAAGAACATTATGCCTGATATTTCCTCCATTTAAGGCATTTACATCAACTTAGAAAACAACACTTGTGATGTATTTATTTATTCATTTGAAATTTTAAGTCTTGTATTAATGGTAGATGATAATGATATTTAGATTCATGGATACAGACCTGAAACATAAATATAATATATTTGCATCTTTAACCAAATATCCATTCCTATAACAAGAACACTCCTTTACTGCCTTAATTCATCTTTGATTAATGATTAATTTTGGTATCTTTTTAGATGAATATTGGTGGCATCACCTGTTAATCAGATCTTAAATAAGATTTCTTCTCAGGCTGCATTCAGCAACGACTAGTTCCACCAATCAGATGGTCAGCCTGCATCTGGGGCAGCAAAAAGTCCCTGCACATATTAATATGGTAAACTTAATGAACAAATCAACATTCTCTCATCACAGCTGGATAGTAAGAGGACACTGATTAAAGAGATTGCAGTGAGTCTCTTACTGTGAAGCTTTAAAAAGAAAATCCAAAGAAAATGGAAAAGTGTGGGGTTATGTCCCCAAACCGAATACGCACGTGTCTTTTCATGGGTTTTGTTTACAATAACAAAAAAATAGAATATCTCTAGCCTTATCCTTTAAATACCGACTGCTGATGGATCATTCATGTTTGAGGGCAGAGTGACCAGTTTATTGGCCCTGCAGCATCAAAAGTGGCCAGCGTAAGTGAAATGTGCCGTTTTCAAAAGAGACCTTCAGCGCAGTTAACTTCACAGCACCAGCTGGCTTGGCAAGCTGCTGATCCTGCTAAACAGCTACATACATATTCATTTCACATTTCACCCGGATAAGCAAAGAACACAGAGTTTCATGGTTAGTTACCAAAAAGAAGTATATATATATATATATATATATATATATATATATATATATATATATATATAAATTCATTCAGAAAAGGAATGCTAGATCTTGGCAAATGCTCGCAGTTTGCCCGTATGTTGCTCTCGTCAACATTACACAACTGGTGAAATCATGGGAATGACATGAATCATGCTAAATCTGTTAGTGCTGGAACTGTAGGAAATTTGGGTGCGATTTAAGCGATTGGCGGAGCAGTAAATCAATAAGTGACAGACTTTAGGATAATCTCTCAGGTTGATCATGTGGTTGCTTCTCAGTGTTATGGCAATAACAGCGCAACATCACAATAACAACATGTGTGGCTAACTTGGTCTCAGCTAGCTGCCACTCATTACACATTCAGACATGTGCGTATCAATCATCATCTCGTCAAACGTTCACACTCTTCTCCAAGGTAGCCTGTAAAATAGGGTCCTGTGTTGTTGTTAAAGTGTGTGCGGGCACGCACACTCGCATGCGTGTTCTTGCGTAATAAATCAGTCTGTTCTCATAACTGTCATAAGAAAACTCATCACTGGCTGCGGCGAAAGGCTGCAGGTCATATGAGTCTGTTGAGATACCGCTCCCTCACTTCTTTTTCCTCCCCCTTCATTCTTTCATCTCATTTCTCTCTCACTCCATCTCTTTTCTCCATGCCCTCCTCATCCTCCCGCCGTTTAATTCCCATCATCCATTTTTTTTCTCCCAGAGCACAAGTAGGAATGCAGTGGAGGGGAAAGCCACCAAAACTCAGTTTATTCACCTTTTGATGTGTGAAATTGAGTTTTTCCCTCTTTTAAAATTTTTTCCCCCAAAAAACGATATTAATCGTAGGGTTATAGTATGCATTATTGCTATCACAGTGATGTAAGTCATATTAGAATAGAGAAATACTTTTATTCCAAAATCATCCATGTGTTTGTTCATGTATTTTTAACCTTACAGTAAGGAGACGTTGGAGTTAGTTCACCCATACTTGTTTGCTGCTACATCACTGAGCAATTGCCTACATTGTGCGCATTTGTAAACACATAGTGAACACAAAGGATGCTCATTCCAACAACAGAAAATATGCACTTTTATACAAAATCCCACAGTATGTACCTAATTACAAGTTACACAGAAGGGTATAGAGAAAAGCAACGGTTGTTACCACAGAAGAATAGTTATATTGGCTGTACTTGAACAGAAGGAAAGTGGACTACATGAAAATACTGTTAATATTTAGCAAATGGCTGACACAATAGCAGAGCGCAAATTACTCCAGCTCCTATGGGTCATTTTCACCTGTAGTGCTGTGTTGCCAATTAAATTAATAGGATAACCCAAATGGTGCAGGAGGAAGTGAGGAAATCAGCAGGGAGCTGTGAAATGAACTGAAAACAAAGAAGCTGTACAGCTTCCTTATTCCCTTCCCTCGTTCTCACTCCTCCTGACTGCCGATTAGACTCATCACATCATAGTTTTAATTACCGTTATTCAAAGTTCACATCAGCAAATTCACACAAACACAAGGCGACACACAAACTGCTCAGTTCAAATCTGCCTGATTACCGTGTCTGAAAATGTTTAACTAAGCTGAATGTTGCAGGCTCATATCGTAAACCACCCGTCTCTCTCCCCTTCACTGCTCACAGTTTATTTCCTGGGCGCTGCCCCTTTCAATCAGTGTCTACAGCTCAACAGTGGTTCCCTCCTGAATACGGCCTCTAGTATTAGATTTCATTTAGATCTCATTTACAACACAGATGGAATGGTGCTAGCAGCTCCCCATGCAGCCATGTGATTACTGATGGCTTTCAGTGGGAGGATACTCATTTGCCCACCCTGTTGGCTCGGGTTGCTGCATCTGACGATCAGGTCCGGCCATTAGTGGGGGAAAAATCTGAAGCTTTTTCTTTAATGGGGTTTATTGTAGCAATTACCACTCCTTTAAGCGACAGTGCGTTTGGGTTACTTTGCCAGTAACATCAGGTAGAGTATCAGTATCAGTGGGCAGAACACAGCACCAACTGAATGTCACCTCTGTTTTTATAAGATTATTAAGTACAGTTCTGTTCCATCAGTTCAAAATATCCCATATTAAGGTCTGGGAATCATATGTGTTGTAAACCTTATGTATTTTATCTTGCAGAATTCATACAAATATATGATTTGTTTACGTTCATTTTGAAACCAGGGGTTCCACTAGGATTTAAACATAAGAGTTACTTAAAAAATGGGAATTGATGCAGTTTCAACTGTTTAAATTTAAAACCATCAGAAAGTGGTATCAAGAAACAGATCATTGATACCATGTGTGCCAGCTGAATACATGTATGTATGTATGTATGTTTGTATATATATAATCTATTTAAATATATATAGATATATGTATATACATATATATTTAAATAGTTTACAACGACTGTCAGATGTCAAAAAACTTTGAGATTTTCTTTAAAATGCTATCCTTTATGTCAGAAATATAAAAGCTGTTTATTTTATAATTTTTTTAGGTATAGGATTATAGGCTACCATTCTTTGTCCAACCAACTAAACATTCGCTGTTTATCTTTCACTGGCACTCCACTGATATGATTTTACATGTCAAAATATATAAAAACTGGTGTTTTCAGATGAAAGACATGGATATTATATATATCCATATATATATATATAGTCAGAGAGTGAGTCTAATGAAAGATGCTATCATATGAATTTTTATTTTATGTCTCCAAAGCCCCCCAACTATATGGAGGTACAATACTAAATCACCAGAATGGCCCTTTAATGAGGACATTCTGATATTGGCACGCCACAAATTATAACTTCAAAGATGATTAAAATTTTTGAATCAACAACTCTCTGAATTAAAGATTATTTTATTTTCATACAGTATTTGTTAAAGGAATCTTGAGTTGCATAACAATGTACAGCGGTATTAATTGCTAGGGTAATAGTTGCCATACTCAATAATATAATGTGTAAAATGTATGTGAAAGTGAAATTACATTTATAAAATAAAATGTTAGAAAAATATGACACATAAATTATATTACATGTATATTTACATATATTTTTGTATTTCAGCCAAATGGGAAACCACTACAGTTGGTGGCTACTGACAAACACACACACACACACACACACACACACACACACACACACACACACACACACACACACACACTAACATTAACATTAACATACACAAATACACATTCACCCCACACACAGATACTCTCATAAACACAATCAGAGACTAAGATATCTCCTTGTTCTTGTCAACATGACATTCAATTTCATAGACGCCTCTAGGTGTCTGAGTTTTCTAATTATCAGGCGCATGTTGCCTGCTTTTCTGTTCCAAAATGTGGCATGCACGCACACACATGCAGCTTTCTCATGTGAGCTGATGTTCAGCTCTGGAACATGTCAGAAGGTCACGATGTACGTCACATGCCCCCCTGCACAAACATCGTGCCAAAGATGCGCGCCAATTATTATGTGTTTGTGACAGTTAGTGAGAGACAGTGGGCAAGCGTGTATGTGTGTAATGAGGCGATTAGCAGAGCCACACTTTAGAACCAGTTTAGCGCAATGCTTAGCAGTCTGCTGTTTGTGTCTTCAAAACCACATTCCTCTGTCAGTCAGTGCCAAAGTAACAGCATCCTGACCCTTCAGCTGCATGCTCGGTTACAGAACGGTCAAAGCATTTAACCTGAGCTCCGCTGCTGCATAGACCTCATTAGATTGGCCAGCAGAGCATACCAGAAGAGGCCTTCTCTAAAACCAGGTGTCAGCCAGTCATTACTCTGCTGTCTGACCCACGGAGCAGCTGGAAATATTCTAGAGGTAGATATGGCGCAGAGTGGAAACACTGAGAATATCCCCACTTCACTCGGATGCCATCAGACCGTAAACACAATAGTTCCTAATAAGCGTCAGCCGTCCTGTGTACAGACAGAAAATTGTGCTTCTGTCTGGTCTCCAGTCTCATTAATCAAGTGACTACAGAGGGTGTGTCTGGCCCCACGTGTGTCTCATAAGTGTAGGCATGCAGCAAACTGTCTAGTGGCTTGTTTTTTTTGTACTATCAACTAGACATCAATGCTTGGCATGTAGCCTGCAACAAAAGAAGCTATTTTTAGGACATCGCCAGGTGCATGGGGATTTTTTTTGGGGGGGTTACTGTATATACAGTGTGTGTCTGTGTATGTAAAAGTTCCTGACTGGGAATGTGTCACTTTATTAGAACAATAAGAGCTGATAACAGCTGCAGCAGTCAGCCATGGCAATGCTGTTGTGTTGTCTTTGTAGCAGACTTATCATGTTTAGAGTGTGACTTTGTGCTGTAAGATGCCTTTTTTTTCAGTCAGTGTGTCTCATTAAAAAATTTGGTTGTGTTTCAGTAAAAGCCGTGCTGTGTAAGCAGATTATGGCACAATTAGAAGCACAGATAAACTTTCCCTTATTTACCTTTCAAGTTTAGAAAAGTGTAGGGAAAGACACTGCTATCATTGTAATGAATTGACACAAAGGCATCCCTCTCCCTCATCTGTTCCCTCTTTCTCTCTCTCTGTTTCTGTTTTTACAGATGAATTTAACCCCTTTGTTCCCAAGCTGGAGAAGAGCGTTAGCGGAAGCAGCCCATCCAGGGATCGCCTTCTCCTTACCGTGACGATGCTCCTTCTGGCCGCTCTCTTCATCTCCTAGCAACGGCCATCCCATCAGCGTCACCATGCCAACTAGCCTGGGGAGGGTGTACAGTATCAGCGGGTGGGAAAGTGTCTGTATGTGGGGAGGGGAGTGGGGGTACAGGGTGAGTCAGGAAGAGGAGGAGAAGAGAATTAAGGTACCACAAATAGAGCAAGAGGAGCAAGAAATTAGAGTTTTCAAGTGTGTGTGTGTGTGTGTGTGTGTGTGTGTGTGTGTGTGTGTGTGTGTGTGTGTGTGTGTTTGTATAGCTGCGTGTTTGAGGGAGTGTGGTTTTGGTGGAGTTGAAAGACCTTAAGGCACTGGATGACACAGACTGAACCGTATGTTCATGTGCATTAAAGTCAGCCTCTGCACACAGATGCAGGTGTGGTAGACTGTGTGTGTGTGTGTGTGTGTGTGTGTGTGTGTGTGTGTGTGTGTGTGTGTGTGTGTGTGTGTGTGTGTGTGTGTGTGTGTGTGTGTGTGTGTGTGTGTGTGTGTGTGTGTCTCTGAACAAGGCCACAGGTTGAGCTTGTTGAATCATGCACACCACACAAAGCATTTATACAACAGGAGAGGCGGGGCTGAAATCCTACTAAAAAGAAGAAAAAGCATCCAATCCACCCACCCAATTGAAAACCATTTGAAGACTTTCCCCTGGATCTGATTGGCTGAAACACTACCTTAGGGCTAGTTGCCATAGTTTCTTGCAACAAGACTTAAACTGAACTCATATGAACTGAATCAAATAGATTTCAACAGAACTGAACTGAAATTGCCTTTTTTTTGTTGTTGTTGTTGTTGTTGTTGATCTTGATGCTGGGAACTTGTCCCAGTCCACGGAGGAAAAAAAAAAAAGGAACCAGCTGACAAACTGCTGCAGGTCCTGTGTAGGAGACTAGTCAAAGTAGCTGATAGTTCATAAACACACCCTGGGACTCCAGACGCCAGTGTTTTAGTTGTCATCTCCACTCTGCTGTGTCATTCTGTGTTCACCATCAGTCTCCAGCACATCTCTAATGAACGTGACAGGACAGGACGGGGTCAGGGGGAAACACAGAGCATCTGAACGATAAATCATTCACTTAAGCATCAATTAAGGGGGGGAAAAGACGAGAAAAGGAATCTACTGTAGATGTGCCATTGACACAGAATCCACAAGGGTTTGTTGATGTTATAAGTTGCTGTGTTACTTTTCTGTCCCGTCTTTGAAGTACTAGGTTAGTCCTCTGTCATCTCTGAGGTTAACGAAGCACACGATGGCTACGGAGCAGCCATGGATACACTCAGCAATACTGCCCTCCTCTTAACCGGCTGCAGGCTGTTTGGACAAGAGCGAGAGGAGGAGGGGGGAGGAGGTACGAATGGAGGAAGGACAGTCACTCACACAAGCATCTATGAACACATCCAAGCTCAAGCTCTCCACTCATCAGTGTTGGTGTAGCAGCCTACTCCACCAATCTCATCTCTGTAAACCCATTTGTCAGATGCCACATGTAAACAGTTTTCTGTTACTGTACGAGTGTTTGTGTGTGCTTGAGTGACAAAAACATATGTCTGAATGGTGCCACGTGTGCATGTATGAGAGCGAGAGAGACTATTTTAAATGGTACTAACAGCCTGAAAATACATCTACATACTGTACATCTTATAAGTATGAAAATGCAAAATAATAAAAAAAAAAATCAAAACACAACTAAAGCAACAAGTAATACATACAAACCAAGTGCTTTGGTGGGGAGGTACGGCAATTCAAAACTCAAACAACTGTACCAGTCAGTTGCTGCAGAATAGCGTTTCCATAGCAACTAGCACCTTATTCACCATGGTTACCCCACCCTGCCAACAATGGACTCTAGTAGGGCATGGTTTACCATAGTAGCTGATAACAATGATGAAGGTGATGACGATTATAATGAAGATGAAGATGATGGACTGTGAGCTGACCGTTGGCCGACCAGGCCTACACAGCGGCTCACCCACCGGCGTGTGAGACATTCAAGTACTCGTGTAAATGTCACAACGGACAAAGAATGGAATTCCAATGTCTTGAAATTTGCCAAGGTGGAATGTGATGTAAGCATTTTTACAAACTTGAAGCTCAGTTTCTTTGTGGTTGTTTTTCTTTCCTGTTTCTATTATTATTTTGTTGAGTTTGCTGTGGTGTATTTTTTGGTCATCTTGAGGGGGGAGACAGGGGCTTAAAAGTTGGAAATTTGGGTGGGTTGAGCCATATGTAAACTTGGGCTGCATTCTGTGAGTCTCTTTCTGTTTCTATTAATATCAATTTTGAACAAATCATGTATAGTTGTGGTTCCCAACCCTTTTAGCTGGTGACCCCATTATGTGACACTCCACCAATTAATTATATACATTAGGTTCACTGGGCATGAGCAGTTATTATTCAGCTGTGAACAGTTATAAAATGTCTCCTGTGTCTCTGAAGTGAGCCTTTTAAAGTTTGAGAAAATAACCCTAATGGTGTCACTTTAGTTTGGATGGGCTGAGCCTTGAAATTTTCAACAGAAAACTGTGTTGCGGACGAGTGTCATAAAGTTTCAAATCATGACCATTTAGGGACGTACTAACAGAAACAAATTTCAGAGTTGCTTCTAGGTTGTGTTGGATCCAGTGTTTTTGGAGTTTAGGACTGAATGTCAGCATATGTCAACCTCTCCTTTACCAGTTTAATTTTCGACCAGGGGATGATTTTACTTCATCCCCTGGAAAGAAAAAGGACGGATTAGAAGAAAATATTAAATAATAAAGCAGATTTTTTTTTTCTGCATAACAATCTCATGACCCATCATATTTGTGTTGCACCTGTCCACCAGGTAGGGAACCACTGATATATAGGATTGTATTCTTTTTTGTGTGTGCACGTAGTTCTGTGGCTTTATACCTATAGAAAGGAATGAAGATCATGTAGTTTTGGAGCATCACTGAGTGCGTTACCTTACAGTGTGTGAACTAACCCAAGTATATATATGGCTCTTGGTGGGAGGGCGAGGTAGGAAGGGTTTTGGGTTCCTGGTGTGGAGTGAGAGGGTAAATCACTCTTCAAGAAGTTGCACTTAAGAACTTAGACACGAGAGCAAGAAAGTGTGCGTGTGTGTGTCTGCCTATCTGTGTGCCCATCTGAATATCTGTGTGTGTGTGTGCTTGTGTATCAGGGAGTGTAAGAATCAGAGGTCATATCTGTTAATCACTTCATGTCTGCGTGCAGGAGCTTTAGCATGAGATGTTGTCTGTCTTTGTGTGTGTACTGGTGTCAGTGTGTACGTGAGCGAGTGAGTGGGTGAGTGAGTGAGCAACAGTCTCTTTGTTTCTGCTCTTTCTGTGTGCGTGTGATCGAGAGAGTGTGACCGATTATTGTCTGGCAAAACAAAAAAAAGCATTTAATAGTGTTGGAAACAACAATTACAATCATGTTTACCTTCGACTGGAATGACTTTAAATGAACTTGAAAATAAACTGTAAACTGAACAAACCATAACAGAGGTTATAACAATGATCATGATAACAAAATAATAAGCTTACAAATCTTACTTTTAACAAGATGTGTGTTCGGCTCTTTATTTGCCTCCCTTTTGGAATCCCCCCCTCCCCTCCCCTCCCTGCTCTCTCTGTGTCTTTGAGGATTTGGGGAAAAAAGAAGGGAACAAGCATGGAGCTAATCCAAGACAACAGATGGAGGGGTCGCAGGAAAGGTTTTACCTGGTATATTCAGTTCTCTGGAGATAATGTTGTTTGGGAGCTCACAGATGTGATTTTCCATATCAAAGTTGGTGTGGCGACGCTCTCCCTCAGCAGTAATACCTTTACACGCTCCGATTAGGAGAGATAAGCGCTTCAATCACCAGCCCAACATTTGAATGACAATGGGACAGGCCAGCAGTGTGTACCTGTATGTCTGGGCTGGCTGATGGAGGGATAAAGCCGCCGCTGAGCGCAGGCAGGCTCACTGTCTGTGATCTTATGCAACAGGTGTTTGTCATACAGGAGGTATTCTCGACTGACAGGACAGCACGAAGAAGAAGATGGACAGATAGAGGTCAGCACTTGGGTAGGTACTGTAGTAAGAAGAAGTAGATAATCAAAGACAAGGGTTGGTTGATGAAAGATAAGTAGTGATGTCCACATGCACTGTCTTCTGGCAGAAAAGTCATGCATGTTGAGGTTTGGAAGGAAAGTATTTAACAAAAACAAAAAAAATCTACTTTTTAAATATTCTACACTCAACCCCTAAAGGCTTGAAAGGTAGCCATAAAAAGTTTCCACTTCTTCGTGGAGTATGCAAGTTTCAACAAACTAGTGATCACATTGGAAGACAATTATCAAAGTATCCAAAGTATCTCAAACCATTTCCGCAGCACAAGCCATTTCTCTATCCCATCTGTATGGTTAATATGTCCCAGTCAGTCTGTTGACCAACTGAAAGTTAGTAACTCTTCTTTAATTTTCTCTTTTAAGTTTCTAAAATGAAATTCTAAGCCCCACAACGGCTTTTCATCGGGTACAGAGGTACTCGGTGCAGTTTTACTTACACGGCAATAAATTCATATACAACAAAGAGGTGTCCTTATCATCCGCTGTGTTTAAAAAAAAACATCATTATCATTTCCATTTGGAAACAGACACCTCATCATCCCAGTGGAAGATCCAGCCAGTGAATCAGACACTAATTTGGAAAGTGAACTTGAGGGATGACTGTCTGGTAATACCCAACAAACCATATTCTGGCAACATTAAGTCTGCTTTTCTGAGAATCACTGACTCACTTGAGGATGACACCAAGCTTCCAGACATTTTTGTTGAATATTTAAAATAGTCAAAAAACTCAGGCCATTATTTTTCACCAGGTTTGCTATTGTCTTTTGTCTTTTTGTTTGCTATTGGCTGAAATCCAACCCATCAGACTCTAATACATTAACAGGAGTAGTGATTAGTAACAGGGTCTGAATAATTGATAAAGCTTAATTTCGCAGGTTAAAGGTTTTTTGTGCATGTATCTTCTTCTTGAAGCCACATCACAGTTTTACACAAAAATGTGATTGACCCAAGCCAAAAAAACTGTGTAAAAGGGCCAAAGTTTGCAGCATATAATTGAAATCACTTATTTCATGCGAGTCTCACAAATGTCCACGTCCATGCTACAGTAACCAAACATGACCACTTGGTGCCGCTGTTCAGTCACAGCCTGGAGAGTAGAGGTGCTGCTCCCTAATGCCCCTGCCATGTAATCCTTTATCTGAATACAAATCCATTAAACCCACAATAGCCATTGTGTAACTGAAGTCATTGGGATTAAACATGCAGATTTATTTTACGGGGTAATGATATAACCGTTTATTTGCAGCATGTTAAAGTAGGTGAGTTTATGGAGAGGCTGCAGCTCCCTAAAGGTGGGAATGTGGTTGTGGAGGGCAAGGACGTGTACTCTCACATACCAACCGGTGACAAATTATACAACAACCAGCCATCCGAGGCTTCAACAAATGACTGTTCAGACTCAGGGTCTTCCAGTCACGGACGTCAAGGCAGCGTTTCCGTCTGCATTCATTTATCACAATGAGTCAGGCTGAAGAGGAAAAAAAAAATTCTGCCTTCTCTGATTGTGTTTGTTTTACCGAGAAACCAATGTTATGCATGGGCAGGCTTGTAAATATGAAGCTGTTTACAATAGGCTTGTTCTACCAGTATCTAAAACACAAACATGCACAATGTTTTATTCTTTTGTGAGGACATCTGACATTACAATTAACTGTCTAACCTTTAGTCTAAGTAAAGTGTTATGCAGCAATAAATATAACACCAATACAAAAGTCAGGCTCTCACCCTAGAATACCTTAAAACAAAATGCCCTGCCTTCCCAAAAACACTTTAATAATCTAAAATCTAAATCATAAACACAAGTGTTGTAGCCCAAAACCATCCCTAAAAGAGGCGAAGAACACTTAAATCTTCATTTATCGATTCATCTTTCATCGATTCAGCTTGGTTTTCGCCTTCAAACACATTCGACTAACACTATTAGACCATTAAACCACCATATGCGTTGCCACATTCTGACATCCCAACAATTACTTTGACGAGTAATGTGTTATCAGAACCAATGACCTGAACTACAAAAATAAAACAAATTAATTAATTTAATATAATATAAACTTTAGTTTTCCCTTAACATACGGTCTTGATCAATTTTGAAAACATCAGCTGCCCCACACCCATCCATCTGCAACACCCAAAGATGCATAAGCAGAAAGACCACAACACATACGAAACAGATGATCCCCATGTGTTGACACACGCCCTGCTCCCCATGCTCTTTTAGTCACTTATGTGCTGTGATGAACCCTGAGACTGGCACATCAACGATGCAAGGGAAACCCTCCTTCTCTGCCTTATGGCCTGGGTCAGCATAAAAACATGCTCTTTGCCACGTGAACACGCCTTTCTGTTTGCATGTTAATACAGTCAATAAGCCTCGAATAACATGTGCTATTCAGTTCAAGGCTGAACATAAGGGGTGACTGCGTCAACATGTTCGGGGCTCATGTGGTGTGCATGTAACATTTGTGTGTGTGCTAGCTGAGTCACTGATGTCACGTTGTGGCACCTGGGGCCAAATTCAGAAAACTGTCTCACCCTCCTGCGTAATCATTGTGTCTGTGTAGTGATTAAACTTGTGGCGTGGTTGATCAGGCCTTTGATGGAAGAAAACCCTCCCCCATATCACCAAGGTAACTCTGGTACAACAGGGGTTCCTCCAACACTTCTCAAGTCTTCTAAATAAAAGTTTGGCTTTTCAGGGTGCCATGATAGCTCCACAGGTACAGTTGGCCCCCCATGCACCAAGGCTGAGTCAGCTGCCATGGGTTCGAATATGACCCGTGCCCCTTTGATGCATGTCATCCTCTCTCTCTCCCCCTTTCCTATCTACCTTGAGCTGTCCTATACAGTAAAGCCCCAAAAATATACTTTAAAAAAAGTTGAACTTTCCCACGTTTTTCTTTAGATTCAAGTCAAAAACAAAGATCTAAAACTTGTTCCTGTTTTCTCTCTTCAAGAACCTCACATGAGTTTAAGTTCTTAGAAGAATCCCCACTTGTACACAGGGCCCATAACTCTGGTTACAGCCCTGTCTGGCTGACGCCAATTGAGTTTTAACGATGCAATTTCATCACTGATCACTGATGCCGATCATTCCATTTCTCAAACCTCATGGAAAAGCCTTAAGGTTTAAGTAATAATCGCTGTAATTTTCATATAAATACATTTCTGCCTTCCATTCCATATTAAATCATCTCATAGCCTGTTTTACATTTCATTTAACCTTGGACCTTTCGTGGGAAAAGGAAGTGATTTCTTTTTGTTTTTGGAATGGGGCAGGGGCAAATTGGTAAAGTATTGAATAGAAAAATCTAAAGTGGTGGTGTTAGAAATCCATAAATTGTTTTATTTCGAAATATTCCGACATATTCCCAAATACATTACATGTCTTTTTCATTGAACTTAAGCCTGTCAGTCTAAAATGGCAATAACAGATCGTCATTTTAACATTAGTGTAATTAATAGTAATTAATATGTCAAATTTGACAGGATTTGACACCAAACTGGGGCACCAGGTGGCAAGATATTGGCAGCTGCCACCCCATGCCACAAGTAGCAAAAGATGCAACACCAAAATAATGACAGTGCTACATACAATGCAATACAATTTTTTTCTTAAACCCTGCAAACACAACTTTCGTGAAGTTCCTCGATTTGTTTATAATTTCACACAATATTTTAACTATTACAATCATCTTCACTCGTTCACATTCACACTGTAAGTAGCACGGCAGTGGGGAACTCGGGCGAACAGCCCACAAGTTTCTCCACTGAGAGTTTGGACACAGCTGAACTTTTCAGTGCCATCAGCCATGAAAAGGCAATCAGACTTTTGTACCTCTTGCATCCCTACCAATGTAATGTGGTGTCTCTGCTTGATAAGTGCAACACAGATGAGATTTTGATCACAGCCTCTCAAAGCTTTCCCAGTTCACTACATATCTAAAGAGCATCACGCTAAATAAATGAATAAAGATGGTGCCTTGTGGATTGGCACTTTAAGTTCTGTGCTGACATGACAACCTTTCCATTGTTTGTCATGAGGCTTAAATTATTTTGTTCTCTGAAAAACCCCAGCAGATCTGTTGTGAGTAGTGACTGATCCTGTCTCTGGAGACAAACACTGACACATACAGTAAAAGTGATTTTATTTGCATAGTCTCCGTCAGATATGAATACAGTTTCTCCCTACAGACCAGCAGCCACATTACCCTGACTTTATTGCAAAGTGGGTATTTTTAACCGACCATGTTGGCTTTGATTAAATGTTATGACAGTGCTGAATGTTACAAATTTCTCTCTTTACATCTTCTGTCTGTGTTGCCCCATCTTCCTTATTTGTACATTTTCCTCCTCCCCGATTCTTCAAACCTCACATGGATGCAACGTGCTTGGCCCCATCACAACTTCGCACTGCCTGCTTTGCCGTCTCTCCATTTTCTCAT